AATACATATAATTTTTCTTTTATTTAATTTTGATAATCACCAACAGCACAAAATTAAGTCACCATTCTATAAAGAAAACACTTCAATAACCTAAACTCATCCAAGTTTACTCTGGTGATTAGCTGTTGTAGGAATAAAGCTTACAGAACCTAGAGGAATGATGCTCTCATATACCTCTTAGACAATTCCATAATTGTTATACTAAAAATTTTGCTTTGGGGATTGAAGCCAATTGATTGCTTTTAAAAGACAAATGTATTAAACTATAAGCCAGAACTATGTACGTATTTCTGGGGACAGGACACTTATAGCCCACAAGAGCAGGAAGACAGAAACAACTCTAGTTTCCCTATCCTAGAGGTCTCCTCCAACTAACCTACATACACACATCCCTTTCTATAAAGAATTTCACGGTGATTTGAATATTCGCATTTCCATAGTCCATTCACATTCACTTAGCACTGAATGAAAAAACAATGTATAGAATAGCAGTATACATGTCAAATAATATACTGGGGTAAGTACTGTCATTATTTACAATTCAACTGACATAATTGGTTGCTGTGGGCTTTGGAAGAATTTTAAAAATCTAAAAATTACTCCTAGAATATATCTCTTTTAAAGGTTCTGATAAAAGTTTAGCTGCACCACTGTAGCCTTAAAAGCACAAGAGTCCAAACTACATTTCAATAACTTTAACTAGGAAGTGGACCTGGGTACTCTTTGTTCTCTCACCAACTGTTCAATCCTTAATCTCCAGAAAGATTCTCTGTGTTTCAGATTTCAGATTAAATTTGGATACAGGTGGTACCATTAGGAGACAAATCAAGGATATTACAATCCAGATGGAGAGGTTAAAATCCTCTGGACTCCTCTTTAGTTTAACTAAACTTATAAAATCTATGTTCTAATAGCTGATTTTCTGGGGATCACAAGATTTCCTTTTGCAAATGCCCTTGATGGAATTAATGAGAAAGGGAGAGAAAAGCATATGCTTAAATGCCTGAGGGCATCTCAAACAAAGGAAGAGACTGCTGTTTATTAATGCAATTCCAACACTCACAGCATATTGCTTGCTGTAAATATTCCAGAATAATATGCACCACATAATCAAATCTCTGTAACTAATGTGATTACAGACTTTAAGGTGGTGATATTTACCAACTAAATATTGGTCAAAATAGTAGCTAACATTTAGACATCTGCTTTAAAGAGAGTCATCCTTTCCACCTGCTTCTATGGACTACAAAGACACACTCTAGTTAACATATTACTGACAGGATGATGAGAAAGCTCCTGTCAGATGCTGGCCAGCTGGGTGTTTGAGACAAAATGCACAGCCCCAGCTGACTAGTTAAAGAAAGTCTGGTGAGGTACAATTATAGAGGCATATGACAAGGCTTCATGCCTGACTGATTTGAGAACCGATGACATGGCTTTAAACAGAAGTACTCCCTACCTATGGTCACAAAATAGCAATAAGTCAACTGATACAACCTTGTAATATCATGATTTATTCCTTTGCTTTGAATGTATGATGTATGAGACTCTAATGTGATGTTTGGGTAGTCTACCAAGACTTACTTGGGGCCTAAACATCTAAGGCCTGCCCACAGCATGCATAAAATCAGTGTTGTTGTTCAGGATTGCCAGAAACCATTCCATGTGTACTTGATAATGTGTAAATCAAAGAATAGAAGCAAAACAGATTGTGTCCTAATTCATTAAACTCAAACATGAAAAAACACTATGCTACACTTTTAGGACATGGGAGGAAAACCTGAAATAAATTTTTAAATGTAACAACAGTCTTGGTATTTTTGCTTACATGTCTTAAAGCTATTTTTTATTTTAAAGTTTATGTTGGGGCTGAGGATGTAATAACTCAGTGTTAGAAGCCTTGCCCAGCACGCATAAGGCCCTGGATTCACTCCATAGCACTACAAGAAATTAAAAAATAAAGTTTATCTTTACAAAGTTTACCAATTATCATTTTAAATTACAAATGGCCCTTGAAAAGGATCCTCAGTTTGGCCATGAAAAACTCACAGCAAGCTATAATATTAATACCATTCTATCATAATTGTGAAAATTTATAATTGTCAAAGAGTAAATAACCGAGGAAAACAAAATTGCTAACACAGCAACAGAATTATAAATGTTAAGATGCTTCAACTTATATGTGTTCTAATAACAAAATTTTGTTACAGATTTAAAAGATGATCAAGAGATAAAACACAAATTATTGTATTAATTAATTATTTAATTTAGATTCATAAAAAATAAAGGATGCAAGAAGCTTAAAACTATTATATTAATTAAATTCTTTTTTAAGAACAGGGTATTGCAAATTTACATTATGATACTAAGTCCTTGACCTTAAATGTTACTATGCATAGAATTTAGTTAGCATATACAAGCAGCATATTTATAGCATATAGATAGATATATAAGAGAAATTATTCATAATAGTTAAATAAAGTAGTTTCCCCTGCATAAGAAGGCTCAGAAGATCATGAAAGTACACTTGAATTATGTTTATTTCTCATCCCCTCTGCCCCAGAGAGTGAGCCAAACCACAGCCAGTAACTTAGAGAACATCATCAAAGAGTTTTCATGAATTATCGTAAACAATTGGTATGACATTGACCTTCAACATAGGAAACAATTTCCTGTGTAGTACAAAGCTTTCTAGTCAAATATTAAAGGGTAGGCATGTTAATTTTTGGTCTAACCCACAGACCTAAACTATTATAAAATTGCAATTAATAAATGTTGAACATTATCCTATGCAATATAACTCTAAGTACTTCATATAATCTTTCTAGCAACCCTAAGAAATTAAGACTGTTATTACTATCACTTTATATGTGAAGAAACCAAGTCAAACAGAGGCTAACTAGTCATTAAGAGGGAGGAATAAACTAAAACAAAGAAAACACACAAATATTTTTAAGAACATATATGAAGATTTATTTCTACTGTTTTCCTAAATAGAGCACCTTATACTTATTCACCTATCTTATTCCTTCCTTTACCTTCTTCAGATCTCTGCTTAAAATCTACCGTATTAGGAGGCCTTCCTTGTACTACCACCTAATATAAAATTTTAAAACTGCCCCTCACCTTCTACCCTGTACATATAAACACTTTATCCTTTACCCCCTGGTATTCATCACCATATGACACAGTAGCTATTATATATTCAAAATCTCAAAATTGTGTTCTTTCAATTTTAAGGTAATGGAAATGACTCAAATCATAGAATCAAAAGAACCAGTTTTCACATTACCTACCTGTAATAAGCCTTGGGGTGGCCATTTAACTTCTCTGAAATACTAACTTCTTACTATTAAATACTAAATAGAGAGATCCTAGAAAAATCTTAAAACTCTTTCTGCTCTATAATGTTACAGAATGAGATTTTGTCTCTACTAAAGGAAAATAAAATATTAAAAATATGATTTTATTTTCATCAAGTAAATCCATTTGTAGAAAGGCAAATTCATGCAATATTCACAATGCTTCTTAATATTTTCATATTCAAAACTTTATTTAAATTTGTCTTCAAAATCCTAAAGTTGAATATACTAAATTTTTATGCATAATAGAAAAAAATATGAAATATAGCAAAATACTTTGAACATTTTTTAACAACTGAAGAAAAATCCTTCCATGCTCACTGCCTTTACTACAGAAGTGAAGACCTTCCAAAAGAACATCTGATTGTCATAAAACCCATGATTAATAAAAAATGCTACTTTGACTTTTAAGTTATTATTAATCTGAAGAGCTCCTCAAAATCAGAACTATTATAGAATCTACTCCCAAACCACTACTTGGCAACAAAGATGAATCTACCTATTACCAGGTTAGGATAGAAGCTATTATCATGGCTCCTTGCTTTCTTTCAGCCAGGCTCCAATGGAAAAAGTCAGAAGTGAATAATAAAGATCTCATAATAGCTCTTAAGAATTCTTTATATGGTAGAAGGCAGTAAAATGAACTCTAGAGGATTAAAAAAACTCATCTTCTGATAAGAAAAAATAATTAACCTGCCTTAATGCATCTAAGAAGGCCTTCTATAAATCAGACTTTTGTACTTCAAGAGCTAGATTAAAACCATATATATAAATGCAGAGATTGTCTTATGAGTACACATAGCACATTTTTAAATCTGCAGAGGTTTTTAGGCCTTTTTGTGAAACACTCAATACATGCTACTTAACAGGAGAAGTGTGAAGTACTTACAGTGCTTAATTTGCTAGAGGTAATAATGACGCGCCTCTCATGTAGCATACTGGCGTACAGTTGCAGCATATTGTTCACATCCACGGCAACAAAATATTCTGTGAGATTTCTCTGTACAAGTGAAAAATAACTGTATAAGTTACAGCTCATGGTGAATACGAAGAAAACCATTTTATACATTTACCAGGGGTTCAAAGGATGTTATATTAAAAGTAGAATTCATTAAAATAATTAAATTTAATACTCTTCTGCTGCCACATGAAACATATAATATTTCACTACTATTTGAAGCATAACCCTACTCCACGAAAGTGTTTCTCAAAGGGTGATCAGAGAACCAAATATTTCCCAGTCTCCCCCATTCCAAACACACCAAGTATTTGAAAAGAAGCTCATTTCCTGGGAACCAGCCTAAACCTTTTGTGTTACCATCTTCCAAGTATGGTCCCAAGAATCTGATTTTTAAACAAATACTATTCCTATTGATTGTTATACACTGGTGTTTGAGAGACTGCTATTCCAGAAAATACATTCGAGACTTTTCATATTTGCTATTCTCTTTATAGTTAAAATTATTATCTCCTACTATGTACTATAACACAAGGCACCCAAACTATGAGGCAGACTTACATGCAGACTTTGGTTCTTTATTAAGGAAAATCCCTTGCTTATACCCAACATCAGGCTTGCTTTATACCACTGTAACCAAATACAATATGATGATGTTCTAAATTGGTTCATTAATACTCAAAGATGAAGAACTATTTCTCAACATGGAAGAGTGCTTTATATGTACATCCTTGCTTTCTTTTTTCCCTAAACAAGACTTTCTGCAAACTAAAATGTGTCAATGAGGATATAAAATGTGTTCTCAGGCTGGGCATGGTGGCACATGCCCACGATCCCACTGTTCTGGGAGGCTGAGGAAAGAGGGTCACAAGTCTGAGCCCAGCCTGGGCAACTCAGTGAGACCCTGCTTTAAAATTTAAAGTTTAAAAAGGGCTGGTGCATTCTCTGTGGTAGTTTTCATGAGAATGTTTGCTTCTTTAAAACACTCAAAACAATAGTCTATTTTGTTGTTTAAGGTATTGGTCATTTGTTAGCAAATGTAAAAGAAAGTTAAATGGAGAAACCAGAAGGCAGTGACTTTAGCTTTGCATCAGACATGGAAGTGAAGGGCCACTAAGCTACAGCACAGTCCGTGGTCCTTAAGGAAAACCTAACAAGAGGTACCTTGCCCATGCACACAGCAGTCAAGACTTGAGGGTCTATTATGGGACCCCAGGGCTCTGACAGTCTCTTTCAAGCTCACATTTACAGTACTCAAGGCAAAATCTTTTGATAGGGGCATCTGAAAGACCCTTTGCATAGGGTTTCATAGAATTCATCTGTACTAATTAAACACTTTTTATCTGATAGAATATTGATTGGATATTAGAAAATTTACACTTGTCTTCCTGGTCTCCATGGATTACCCATGTACTTTTAGAAAGCAAATACCTGGTAGATTTGAAAAGATATTTGGAAAAACAATAAATAATAAATTATCTGGAAATATTTTTCCATATTGATTTCTTTCACTTTTGATTGAAACTCAGAACCTAGCTGAATATATATGACCTTACCTAACTATTCCAAATGAGAGAAATATTTTTTCTCATGTCATTTTTCTTAACAACAACAGCTATTAAGAAGGGTATAATGGAGTAGAGGAAAAAAAGGTAACACTATTATTCCTATCTCTTCATTATTTCCTTACAAACAAATAATTACAATGTATCTAATTTCTCTGCACAAAAATGCATAAACAGTAAGATCAAAATAAATAAAATTTATAATGTAAGAAGAGTAGTAAAGTTAAAAAACTGAAAACTTACACTCTCAGGTATTGTTGGGAGTCCAGCTATATCAGGGGCAATGAAGTAGGAATGCTAATCAATAGAAATAAATCATAAAAGAAAAGAATTAGAATTTCATATTACATATACTTTAGGTTAAAATAAGAAAAATATATTCACTAAATTAATAAATGCCAGGCATTGACACTCAGGATTTGTTGAATTTGAGACACTCTTATGTGAGATGGCAGGTTTGTTAGATTTAATAACAACTTTCTCATATAAGAAGTTAGTCATTGGTTAAAAATACTTTAAAACTGAACAACAAAAAAATTGAACAGAAATGGAATAAGAATCCTGGTGAATGTTTTAAGGCAAAAAAAGAGTATATTACCAAATGATTTTTTATATATATTATAAAACTCTCATTTGGTAAAGTACTAAATTGTTTTTCTCATGTCATTTTTCTTATGACCAACAGATATTAAGAAAGTCGTAATGGAGCAGAGGAAAAAAGACATATAATACATGTGTATAATAATATATATAGAAATATGTGTATTATTAAAATATACATAGTTTAGGTTAAACTGAAAAAAATAAAGCTTGCTAACCCAGGAATATACCAAAATCTGTTAAGTTTCCTGAGTTTCTATCATAAATCACAGCAAATCTCTTCTGTAAATATCAGCAAGTTTATTATTTAGAAAGTAGCATAAAGCATAATTTTTAGATATTTAAAACTTAGTTACTTATCTCGAAAAATGATTCCCACATATCCACTAAACAAACACTAGTTGACTTCTACACTGTACAAAGCAATACAATGCACTGAAATATTTATATAAAATGTATAATACGTCTATGCCCTCATTTTTCCCATCATGTTCACAAATTTTATCATCCAGAATCAAGGTACAACTTAACTATCAAAAATGGTTTATTTTCTGTTTATATTAATCTCCAAAATTATTTAATATCTTAATCACATTAGGATCTAATTAAAACTTACAGATTGGAAAGAAAGTAGCCAATACTTGAGCACAACTCAACTAATCAGAACAGGGTTAGCTAATACAGTCATAATGCATCATTTTCCAATGTGGAAAAACAATGTGAATTAAGTCACAAGATAATCTTGTGACAGAAACTGTGAGAGAAATGTCATGCTATGAATGGAATTTAAGATCACAACTACTGAAAATGGAGAAAATGCATAATTTGGTCTCTATTAACTACCTTTATTTGGGGTTTTAATAGCACTGTATTTCATAAAACTAAACTTTATTCTACATCATTAAAGGACAATATAAACAGAAAATACTTGCCAAATGATTAATTGTAAGAGGCAATTTATAACTTCCCAAGGGACTGGATTGACTTTTGAAGACATAAAAATAGAAGTAATGATTTTCCCAATTTAACAGTGATTTTTAAAAGCTAATGTCCTTTTAACTCACCGGTATTAGTGAGAGCTGATCTTTCAGAATTTGCTCACTGGCAATAAATATTTCTTGATTCTTACAATACGTGAGAGAAAAATGAATATTTTACTTTTAAGAGAAAGCTTATCTAAAAGTGTTCTGTGTGAGACAAACTCATGCAGCTATATTACCCACTGAAAATATTTGAATAACAATTGTAAATGCTACTCTAAATGCTAATATGCTAATTTTGTGCTACAAAAAAAAAAAAACTAAAAAAAAATTTTATTTTGTCAAAGTAGAGAATGCTGTGGATATTCACTGCTTTTGAAATACTGTTTTTAAAAATAACATATTAACTTTTTATAAAATCTCTAATAGTCTAGTGACCACTACCCACTCGCAGGATCTAAAACTTCCACATCACTGATTTTAATCTGGTAATGAAAAACTAAAATCTCTACTAGTAGCTGAAGATAAACATTCTAGTTCAAAATTGGCAGTCATGAAGACCAGAACACTTCGCCCATAATGTGAGTAATCTGTTATTGAAAAAAAATTAAATTATTAATGAACTTTATACAAAGGTAAACAGCTGATTTTATCCTTATGTAAGATAATGTAGCCCGAGAACAAATGTACAAGATTTGAAAACTCAAAAGCCTAGCTGTTGAACATGTGTTCCATGTTATCTTGAGCTTTCAGTTCACCAATCTCCAAAGGACTACTAAACGTTTCCACCTTTGTGGGATCCATTGAGCCAGTTCTAAAGTCAGACAGTTTACAAAGAGGCATTAGTGCAAAAAGAAAGCATGATGTTCATTCCAGAAGCGAAGACAACAATGTGACCAGAATAACGAATTTAGGAAAAAATACTGAGACCAAAAAAAAGGTTAATAAAGCTAAGAAGTGGGTAGTCCTGATAGCCCAGCCAAAAGTTTGGACTAATTCTCTATAAAATGCAGAGTTACAAAAGCTTTTTAGCAAGAGACTTTACGTAGTTTAAAGAAGTTTGCTCTGGCAGTATTTTGAAGAAAGGACTGAAAGAAGAGACTGTAAGAACAATTTGAAAGTGCCAATTTTAAAAACTGAATAATGTAAGAGAACACCATTATTAAATGAAACAAAAGAAAATTTAAGCAAGAAGAAAGTATCAAAGAAAGAATGTAAGAATGATAATTTCCTGATCTTGAAAAAATTCAAGACCTTAATTATATATGTTTCAAGTTACTTTTTATTGTAATATTCCTTCCATCATTAAGTTTTTTCTTCTTTATTAAGACAGAAGTTCATTATTATTTTGGTAGAAAAAAATTAAATAAATGTTAACTCTCTATTTGGCATTGCAAATTAATGAAAACATCCATAATTTATTTTCATGAACTTTGAACATTTACAAAACTGAATGTGCTTTTACATATACATGGCACGGTTCACTGAATACATTACTCATTATAGGCTTTCTGTTTTGACAAACCTCATTCACATTCCCAGTGTTTTATGATCACATTAGAAGATGTACTGAAGTATGGGGAAAGAGAACTTATAACCTAGAATTTTCTCTCCATGTATTGTATGTCATTTTCTCTTTGTCAAGTACTGAGAGAGAGAGAGAATTCCTTTACTGTATGTAGATTAAACTGGAAAATCAATGTTCCTTACAACCAAAATACCTGACAAATTTGGTTATTTTCAGTTCATACTAAAGTTTGTTAACTCTGTAACTTACCAGCTACCAAACCACACAATATATCAAGTTTGATAATTACAGCATGCCAAAAGCTCAATATTATCACCTAGTAATGTTAGTACCATCACTGTCTTTTTCTTAGAAGTAAAAGTGACTTTGCAAACAATTTCTATAAGGTACATGTGTTCCTAAGTGAAAAATTATTATGACTCAAAAAAATGATTAAATACTTACCATACTCAAATTGACAGGAGTGTTTGCCTTTGGTACTGGGTGGTTATAGAGTGATTTGAGAGTTTCATTCAAATCATTTTCCTTGAATACAAAAAAGTTTATTTAATAAATAAAACATAAAGCAAGCAAATAATAAAAAATACCCTTTTATATTACTGGTGGGAACATAAAATGGTACAGGTACTATGGAAAATGGTATGGCAGTTTCTCAAAAAATGACACGTAAAATTATATTATCCAGCACTTATATTTGCACATATACTTAGAAAAACCTGAATAAAAACTATAAGTGATATTTTATACAGCCATCTTCCATAGAAGCACTGTTCACAATAGTCAAAAGATGGATGTAAGCTACATGTCCATTAACAGGTGAATAAATAAAGAATTTGTAGTACATACATATAATAAAGTTATTCAGAATTTAAAAGAAGATTCTAACATCCTATAATATGAGAATCTTGAAGACATTTTGATAAGTAAAATAAAATAAACCAGTCACATAAGGACACTGTGTGATTCCACTTATATGAGGTACATAGATTCATACAGGTACATATTACAATAGTGGCTGCCAGGGAAGAAAGGAGGAGGAAACAGGTATTGTTTAATGGGGACAGAGTTTCATCTCCCAAGCTGAAAAGATCCAGAGATGTGTAGTATTGATGGTTAGTGAACAGTGTGAATGTGCTTACTGACAAAAAACTATACATTTCAAATAACTAAAGTGGTAAGTTTGTTATGTATATTTTAACACTATAAAAATAATAGAGAAAAAGCATAGCTTACCAATTCCTTAGCCAAGTAATCTGCCAGAGTATTTAGAAGTTTGTAGTACACTTCAAACCATGGCAGGTAACTGTAAAAAAAATTTTCAATAAGTGTGCACATATATACCTGAAATTCAGACTCAAGAAACAAGCAGAGAAAATAAGTTTATATTGGTTCACACAAGTTGATCCTGGAAAACATTTTTTAAAAAACTATACTCATGTTCTCTTTACTGTTTCAGAAAAATTTTATTATCTATTTTTACTTCCATAAAGTAAGACCAAAATTCAAAGTTCAATTAAAAGAGTTGTTCATTACATACTTCTATTTTAGAGTATCTAAAAGTATTTAATATGATTTCACAGTTATCACTAAAAGCATTCATAAGATGAAATGTAATCACTATACTATATTAAAACTAATTTCCAAAAACTTTTAAAACAATATACAATTACAATAATATATCATTTAATTACAAGCATATATTATGAGAACTATATCTTTAGGCAATTTCCTCATCTGAGTATCACACAACATACTCTCACAATCTAAGATGACCTCAAGGTCACTGAGGAATAGCATCTTGTGGTACTACCATTGTAGTAGTACCTTGCAGCGCAAAGCTGTTATTTCTTTGCAAATCTATTGAGCTGAACATGTAATACTATAGAACTATGTATTTAATCATGCCTTCAGAAATTATATTTAAATAGGATGGTAAACCTCAAACATCAATATAAGTATCAGAAACCCTATTCTAAAAAGTGTAAAAACTATAAACTGCTCTTAGACAAAATCAATTTAATTTATTTTGCTAGATCAAAGTACAACTACTTTTTAAGAAAGCTAAACACTAAATCTAAAAATCATTTGTATGAAGTAAAATCTACATTCTTTATTAACAAACTGAAATGTTGGTTTACTTAAAATCTGCCCAAATTTTTAAATTTAATGTTTATTAAAATTAATACTTTCTATATAGAACAACAGGAAATCACAATTTACATCAGCATTGTTAATTATCAATTAACAAATGCTCATTTTTTTCTTCAGAGCATTACTATAATAAGCTATTTTAAGGGAAAATACTGTGATATTTTTGCTACATAATTGTTAACAGGTAATAGTACGCACATAAAACATAAATTTTTTTTTAAATCAATGACTAACACTTAAAGAGCACTCTATCAGAAATTTTTCACATAATTTATTAGTGATGAATCATGCTTTCTGAATCAGGAGCAACCTAAAGTCAAACAAAAGAAGAACAGTTAAGTAAACTACAGTACTTTACTCGGGAAGACAACATAGAGTTCTTTAAAATGATAATTACAAATACTAATAATGTTTAAAATCCCTAGTGAGTTGAAAATATGGACTTATTTCTGTGACCTCTAGAAGTAGCACTAAAATGATAGCATATGAATATAAAAGGGCATAGATTAATAAGTATGAAAGATCTAGAAAGAAATAACAACATGGTAATGTGATTTTATAAAGAGAGTGACCAAACAGAATGATAACCAACTTAGTAGGATAAAAGAAATCAAAACCTAAGTGTCAACAGACAGAAAACTGACCAATATATATGCAACCTACACAACTGTGTAACACTGATTTGGGAATCTCTCTTTAAAAGTCACCCCATGGTTCTATTTTCTTGGTGTAAACTTACTACTGCACATTCACTGTTTCCGATTTACAGCTTCTGATTACAAATTATTCCAACCACCAGATGTATGAAGAAATGCAGACACACCCTTATGTATATAGTGAACAAACATAAAAAAAGCAACAAGTAAATGACAAATCAGGAGAAAATTTTCCTTAACAGTCATAGCAGCTCTGAATAAAGAGCAGGGTGTTACTAAAAAAACCTCTTTTTTAAAGAAAAACAATACTAGAGAACAAGAAAAGGCTCTCAGAAATTCTAAAAGCTGCTGCCGGATGTGGTGGTATGCAATTATAATCTTAGCTTTTGGAAGATGAAGACAGAAAGAAGGGTTAGGAATTTGAGACTAGCCTGTGAGTTCAAGGCCACAGCAAGACTATGTCCTATAAAAAAAAATCTAAAAGCTGAAAAATAAAATAAATCAATAGAAAAGTAGAATATAACAGAAGAAAGTCTACCCACAAGTAGAAGAAAGAGACAGAACGATAAAAGGAGAAAATATTAGAATATCAGGGCATCATCTCCAAATGATGCAGCTGACTAACAGTAGTTCCCCCTATAGAAAAGGATTCAGAGAGAAAGAGAGAGATTCTCTCTTGAAAATTTCTTTCATACAATTGAAAATTGCCTCAAAATTTTTTCAAAATTCACACAGTAGTCTCCTCACTGAAAGAGCAGCTGAATAGTACAATGAATTGAGGCAAACCAAGTATCGTCATGAAACTCCAGAACAGGGGATAGAAAAGTGCCTAAGAGTTTCCAAAGAGACAAAATAGGTAACATACAAAGGGATTAAGTTCAAAATGCCACTGAATCACTCAAAAGCAATTCAGGAAGTTAGAAGATAAATGTCTTTAAAGGTTAAATTTTTTGCTCTCAAGAATTCTACGTCAGGGAAACTATTAAGATAGTGTGAAGATGTATTATTAAGTATTCTCAGACATAAAGAACTCAAAAATTCACCTCCTAAACCAATATAAGGGTTATCTCAACAAAATTAGGGAAACTAAGAAGAAGGAATAAGTGATGCAGGAGAAAAGAAATCTAAGACTATGGAAAAACAGTCCCAGGATAAGAGTTTTACAAAGGCCTAGAGAGCAACCAGTCCAGGCTGCAATGAGAACAAAAGCTTCTGACGAAAACGCAAGAACAAGATGTTTACAACAAGCATGCTGACAGTTCTGTATGGGACCCCAGAAAATTCTGGATATGGCTGTGAAAAATCTGTGAAAGCTATTAAAGAATCTGAAAATCTGAAAATCAGAAATGTAATCTCAATTTTCATATTTAAGTTAGTCAGTTCTTTTAAGTCCTATTTTTAGATAGCTATTCTGCTATAATCTTCATTTATAAAAAAGTCAGCAATTCTTAAAATTACTAACACAACTTTTAAGTTAGTAATTCAACATCATATAAATAACCACATCATAGTTTCTGTACTCATTTTAATTCTAAAAGCAATTTTCATGGAGATATCCTTCTACAACACACATCATAGTTTAAGAATATAATTCTTTCATTTACATTCATTTCATACTCACATTTCCACTTTTACCACCTGAAAAAACTGATATTTCAAGAAAATTTCAATGTGTCATGTAGTTCAGACCTATATTCTTAGGTAAGATGCGACCTAATCTACACAAAGGAACATCCTGTTCTCTTCCTATCCTGCTCTCAGGAGCTTCAGAAAAAGCAAAATCTATTGTTTTCAGATCATTACACGTCTACCTGCTAATTCTTACACTGTCATTTTCACCCTACTTAAATAGTACAAAGCCATATTTAACCTTAATTCTTCTTTCCTGGTCCACTATAAAAATAAAATATATAATATAATTATAGGTCATTACAAGGTGAGATAATATTTTTCTCACTAGGCCAAACACATTAATGATCATTTAAATGTTCAGGTTTTCTCACTTAATTTTTTTTTTCATTGGTTATATTCTCTTTTCAATTTCCTTCAAACTGTGAAGATAAGTTAGAATCTAATTTTTCATTAAGCATGTGGTTTACACAGAAAAATGTAATTTATCTGTAACATTATTTATGTTTTAAAAGTGATAAATGAATAAATGATGTTTGATATATGCATACTCAGATTACCTTAAAATATCTTAAAAGTTCTCATTTGTGCTAGGTATTTTGCTATCTATAGAATTATTAATATTATAAATGGGCAAGAATACTAACTTTTACTGAACTTCATCTGGTATCAGACTGTGATCTCATCTATACATTAAACTAGCTATATTTAAAAATAAGTTTCACCTTTATGGGCTATTTCCAACAGTCATATATAAAGCCAAAATATACTTTATATGTATTCAGGGATTATAACTCGCTAATTAATTATATGCCCATCTGGAGGGCAGAAGACAGATTCTAACAATTACAGAATTCATGTACTAAAATAATTGAAGTGCAGAGGATAAAACTTCTTAGCACTCTCATTGCAGTCTGGACTGGTTGCTCTCTAGGCCTTTGTAAAACTCTTATTCTTGGACTATTTTTCCATGGTATTCGATTTCTTTTCTCCTGCATATGTGTAAAGAGAATGCTATGTACTTAGTATGTGTTAACTAAATTAATTTTTACTTTGATGTATATTTGACTAAACTAAGATCAAGCCACTTATGAGATATCTTAATATGGTGTTTACTATGGTGAATGTTTAAATTTTTAAATTATAGTAAAAGACACATTGCCATTAATCCCCCTCAAAAATACTCTCCCTCAGCTGAATATCCCATTGATGTTGCCACTTTATGAAGCAGTAATGAAAAATCCTCTTTCATGAGTGTCTTTACTTGTGCTGTTGTGCCTGCTTTAATATACTGAATCGATTCAAAACTCACTTTCATCTGTTATCCAAGCACTTGGGAGGCTGAAGCAGGAGGATCACTGTGAGTTCAAGACCAGCCTGAACTAGTGAGTTCAAGGCCAGCCTGGACTACAAAGCAAGACCCTGTCTCAAGAAAAAAATACAATTAAAAAAAACTTTTCAAGATTAATTTGACTCTGTGATAGAGTCAGAAGTCACCCAGTGCCACATCTGGTAAGTAAAGTGGATAAGGACACACCATCATGTTTTTACCAGCCTGCCTTTTCATTGGCTAGCGCTCAGCAGAAGGATTCACATCTTGAAAAGACACTCACGAAAGAGGACTTCCAGAACTGCTGCAATGAGTGCCAAGAATGATGGGATAGACGTGTTCCAACTGAGGGAGAGTATTTTGCAGAATGCCAATGCATCTTTTACTATAATAATTTTTTTAACATTCACCATATGTTTTGACCACATCTCATACCTTTGGTCACAGGCTACAAAATGGCAAGTTTGGAATTAAAATTTCTAATCAGCCTGATTGAGTAACATATGCTCAGTATTCCACTCCAGACAGCCCACTGCC